CCCACAGCCAGTGCCTGCAGGTCTCACTACAGGATTTTCACCTGCCCAGAAACACCCATGTTTCTGCCCATTCCCCCAGAAAACCTGCTCAGACAGGAACAAATGAGTCTTAAAGAGCCACTGAAGTCCAGACCTTTCTCCTCTTGAGTCCTGACCAGGGCTGCCCAAAACCACAGAAGCTGGAGCTGATCATAACTTCTCCTCTGCAGTCTGGGCAGGCTGCACCCACTAAAGGGACAGGAAGCCCTAAGTGTTTTGCTAAGAAAGCAAGGGATGAGAGGAGACAGGGATGCTGCATGGCAGGAGGAGATAAAACATCAGGGAGAAGAACTCTTTCTGCAAAGGAGAGGGTTGGCCATAGAAATATGCTCACTGCCAAGCTGACAACTAGTTGGTGGCTAATTAGAGCAATTCATCTTGGTGAGAATGCCCCCATGGCAGAGCCAGCAATGGCTGGGGTCTGTGTTAGTGGGCCAGGATGCCCTGGGTGCCTCTGTGCCCCATGCTTCTCTCTTGGAATGACATTGCCCCTTCCTTGAATACCTTGTGCACTGGCTTGGGGTTGCTCTGCAGACAGTGCTTGTGATTCAGGGGGGATCTCATGCCATTCAGCCTGCACACCACAGCTGAGGGCTTGCAGGAGGAGGAGATACAGAAGCCAGGATACACAAAGCCATCTGTAACAATTGCACTCACACTTTTAGCCCATTAATCCCGTGAAAGAGCCTTTCAACTAGGGCAGGGTCTGGGCAATCTCTTCGGCATTTCTAGGCTTGATGTGTGCGCCTGTTCTCTAATAAGGTTTATTCACGTCAGTGTTTCTTGGTATTATGTGCAATATCTGGACAAAATAATCCTGTCCCTCAGTGGGGAGTCTCCAGCACAGTGGTCTACACAAATACAATAACAAAACTCAGTTGCTTTTTCAAGCAGCAATGAAAGACATTCAGGACGTGAGCCAATTCCCATCTCTTTAGCATCCACTTGGTCTGTACTCCAAAGCTTTTTGGAAACCCTTAACTGGTAGCTTTGAAGCATTTGGGGGAAAAAAAAAAGGTTTCCCCTCTTCATTGATGTACTGTCTCTTTTTTCTGCCAAAACCCACACTTTTTTGCCAAAATAAAAACCCACTAGTGTATGAAAGCAGAGCTCATCCTCCAGGGAGGGAGAGAGAGCAAATGAGAGCTGACAGAAATGGAAAAGCTTCCAGCAAATAATATCTTGATTGCTGTTTTATCTGCTTCATCATACTGCAGTTAGAAGCGATGTTACCAGTGTCCATATGAGCCCAATTAAAGCCCTCTCTTCCCAATTTTCCCAGACCTCTCCAAAAATATATCACAAATGAAGGTTGTGAAGACCTAATGGAGACTGCATTGCTCTTCATACTTTCTGCAGTCTGTTTAATCTGTTCCTCCTTGCTGATCTGGAGCAGCAAATAGGTTCTCTCCTTCTACCTCTGCTTCCTTCCAGGACTCTGACAAGTCTGGATGTGCTTTATTATGTCACATTGTATAGCTTAAGTCAGGTCACGCTTTGTCCTAATATGCACAAAGGTGGCCATTGGAGGCAGAGAACATTAGATAACTGTGTCTTTGCAAGAACTTGCCATGTAGTTTTGCCATTTGTAGTTTGTTAGAAAAGTTCAACCAACCACGCTGGAGCTGGCAAGTATTCTATGAAAGGGCCTGTAGAATTGACCCAGTTTGGTTGGAATTTGCAGATTAAAAAGCCTGAGCCTCCATTTTTCCCATCTTCTGGAATGGGTCCCTAGGTGCGAGCTTGCACAGGCTCCTATACAACTCAGCTGAGGGACAGGACACAAGCCCCATGTGCATGGGTTACAAAAGCAGAAATGGGGACATCTTGGTGCAGATGCCAAGGGACTTCTCAGCACTGGGAATGAAAGCTTCAGTAAAAACTAACCATTTCAGCATGCATTAAAAAGTAAGAACAACAGAGATGCTCAGCTCTCTAGTCTTTCCATGTGTTACCCTGGGATGGTGAGATCTCATCACGTAGCACTCAAAGGCTTGGGCCTGGGTCAACCCCTGCCCTTGCCACTGACCTTGGACAAGCCATTTAATGTCTATGTTTCCTGTCTTCCTCCCTCATACTGCCTGGGGGTAGAGTGCCACAATATCTGGGGGAAGAGTGTCACAAAGGGTGCAAAGTCTTGCTAGCACCAAGACCTCATGGGAATACACCAGAGTCGCTGTCTGGATGCCCTCTCCGAAAACCACATGTATACCTAAGCAGGTTTACCTCCTTTCCTCAAAAAAGTTCTCTTTCTATAAATAAAACCTGTAGAGCACTGTGCTGTAAGTAACAAACTCAGTAATCATGGGCAGATGGAGAAATTGTTTGTGCCACTAGACACTAGTCAGTGCCACTAGACCCCACATTGCCACCAGATAATAAATTAGATTAGAATAGATTAGATCTTAAAACAAACAAACAAATAAACAAAAAAGCTACACACACATTTCTGGCTTTTTGATGGATACCGAGACATCTTGATTTTACAACCTGGGGCTCTCTAAAGCCCATCTAGACCTACCCAGAGTTATTCAATATGCATTTTTTTCACAGAGAAAGCAGAAAGAACATCAAAAGGCAACTCTATGCATGGAAGCAGGGACAGAGTCACCTCCCTGGTAACTAAGGGACCTGTGACTCCATGCCACAGAATCCACAGTTTCCCGTGGCTTTTATTGAAATATCTTCCATCCCATCCTATCTGAAATTTCTGAATGAGACAAACAGGCAGTGCATCTTTTCCAAGACAAATGCTTGAAAATTTTTTGCAATCAGCTACTTTCCAACAGCATTTTCCAACTGCAAAGCCAGCCTTTCTCGAGGAACACATGGTCTGCTGACCGTGGGAAGCAAGTGTTGGAGGAAAAAGGAAGTTAACCAATGCTAAAGCATACTGTATATGCTCTCCACTTTGCTTTCTGCAGAAACACCTGAGAGCAAGTTTTTGCCTCTGAGTGCACACTGCAAGGAGAAGGGCAGGTAAAAAAGAGCTCTGAATCTGCCTTACTTTTAGCCAGGAGCTTACTAGGCCTACTAGGCTTATGTAGATTACTCCATGAGATTGCTGAGTGGATGACATGCACGAGGACTAGAGTGGAGGTGGGACACTTGCTGCTGAGCACATCCCTCTCTGCCCTGCTGTGGATGTGGAGCGGGATGTGTGTTCACGCTGGACTAGAGCAATGGGGCTGGGATACATCCCTAAAAGGCCCTGCAGCCAGCAATTGAACTGTGTTTCTGAGTTCCCAAATACCAGACCAGCATTTCCCCAGCTCAATAAATCGCAAGATCTTAACTTGGTTTTTCAATTAATCTTTCCTGCAGGGAAACCCACAGATTTCAGACAAACTTTTCCCTGAGCAGGGATCAAGTAAAACCTGACGTGCTTGATTTACAGACAATACTGCCTTGATTTTCCATGGCACCTAGCATACGTCCCACCCCTGGGGCTCAGCACCTCTAAAATCAAGCCTGGTACTGCCAGGAGAGGATCCACCCACTCAGCCTCTGCGGCATTAGCAATGTGACAGACGGATCAGGCTTGCTTTTTAAAAGATGCTCTTTGGGGAAATTGGCAGCAGGTCTGGATGTGAGACTCCCACTAGAACATGTGTGTTCCTTTATGGGTCCGAGGGAACATTTCTCATTATCTTTTCTTGCAATTTAATTAATCTGCATTCAGTAACGAACCTTGAAATTTCAATTAAAAACACCATTACTAATCAGGACAGGATTCAAAATAGTCAAGGGGCTCTCGATAGCTTTACAGTGGCAGGAAGTTTAGATTCAGACTAGGATTTGGGTGTATTGTATGACCGATCTTTTTATTTTAGACATGGATCCACGGTGTTTTATACTTCTGCATGTTTCTCCTCTCATCCTGGCAAACCCAAGAGACCTGCATCTTAGCACCAGTAGAGGAGAGACGGCCTGAATTGCCTTCAGACTTTTGCTTTCTACAGAAAAATACAAGCCTCCAAAATAAATATTAAAAGGGGAAGTCACCAAAAAGTATCAATGTCACAGTCTGTCGGTGTTACTACTGGGACAGGATCTGTCAGAAGTGGTGTGTTTGTCTGTGTATTGTCTGGTGATTAAAATCTTGCAAAGGGAGATCTGCATATTTTCATTTCATTAAACAGGCTGCCTTGGCATCGCTGAGCTGTTCTGTCTGGCAGTAAATAAGAGAAGCCACAGAATACAATTTCTGCCTTGGTAATGTCAGTATAACCTGACCCAAACAAGGCATCCTTCCCCTTGTCCAGAAAACAGTCCCAGAACTTGATTTGTCACCCTTTTCTTCCAATTAAATATGTCATTTGTATTTCAGTTTAGGAAATCCCTAATCTCCTAGCCACAGAAACATCTCTGAGACGTAGGATAGGACTTCATAGTGACTCCAGACCACAGCTGTAATATGCAGCCAGCTTGCCCTCAGAGAAGAGACAGTCATGCAGCAGAGGTACCGCCACATCAGACTAGCAGATTCCAGGCATTCTTGCAAGGAGTCACAGCAGACCTGCCCTCATAATCCATTTCCTCCCACTACCAAAGAGCCTGGTGGACCTGCTGATGGCAAATGCTGCACACTTTGCTTCTCCTTTAGGTCCTGCAGTGCAGGAAGGGAACAGTGCTGCTGAGGTTTGCCCAGCCCTTCATTACAGGACTGGATGCAGCTGATCATTCAAACCAGTGTAGACGTTATTGTTCCAAAAATCACACGGCCATATAAACTTACGTGTACACTGTGCTTCCAAAGTCAACAGTTATGAATCGCTCACAAGACTTTCAGTACCAAACCACGGAGCTAACGCAGCCATTCTGCTTGTTAAGGCAAAAGAATAGCTGCAGCAAATATATCTGCTTTATTGTAGGTCCCTCCCCACCCACGCTTGTTGCTAGAAGACAGATTTGTGTCTAATTTAGCAAACAAGCCACAGTGATATTGTCCAGCACTGCAGTTCTCCAGGGGAAGGTGTTTACAGATCCATGCTGCTTGGAGGTCTACAAGGCCAAGTTCAGTCTGTGGCTGTCAGTCAGGGAGATGGGGATCCAGATCAGGGCCATTCTGGAAAAAAGAAACAGAAGTTCTCCAACCACTGCTGTATGTTCTAAAAAAGGATAATATCCTAGATAATGTGCCATCCAAAGAAGGTGCGGAACTGGCTTTGATGGTGCAAACCATTGTGCACGACAGAGCAGTGTCCTGAAAAATGTCTGCCTGCATCCCCATGCCAGCACAAAGGGGCTGTGCACAAAGTAAGTGTACTTCTTTTACTAATCCTGCATATCAGTCTCCAGGAATTAGGGACCTGGAACACAAAGGAATAAAAAGCAAAGAAACAAAACAAGTAGCTCCAGGAAGGGAACTGAGGACAGCATGAAGAGCAACCTTTCTCAGTTTCCAAGGTGGTGAGTGCACTCAGGCATGAAATGAAAAAGCTCTCCTCTGTGGGGGAGCAGGAGCTGACCTTGCTTTGTCCAGAAATGCAATACAAAGCACACACTTGGGCACGATTCAACTTTTAGAGGCACTTTCTCATGGCTGCCAGTGAGACACATCAGGCCACTCACTCAAAACTGGTTCATGGGCAAAAACCCAAGGAAGAATTATCTAGAAAAAAACAACAGCAATGGTAAGCCATGGGGTAAGGTGAGAATGTGCAAAAGGGAAACCAGTCCTGTCCATATACTTCGAGTTGCATACTTCAGTTTTCGGGCACACAAAGAAAATAAACAGAAAAATGCATATATTCAGTAGAAAACAATAAAATTAAGATTTTTATTTTTTAGTGAAAAGCAATTCCATGAGAAAGGTTTTAGGCATATCAGAAAAGCTCAAATACAGTGGTGCAGGGGACACACAAATGCTTCATTAGTAATTAGATGGGCTGATCTCATATTATTTAAATAGCTTTGGCCAGCCAAACATACCTTTCATGTCCTTGCAGACTAAAACAATTCTTACAATGCAACCTCTTGTACCTGTCCACAAGTGAAGGCTGCCCGCCTTAGCCCAGAGGATTTGTGTGTGTCAGTCAAATGGCCTTGAAGTACAAACTTCAAAGGGAAAAACAGACAGAGGGAGGCAAAGTTATATCTGTTTATCTGATCCTACAATATTTGGGCTGTAGTTTTCAAGCCTGGGCAGCCAGAAATGTTTTTTCATTACTGAGCAATGCAATATTTAAATGAAGTGCAACCCATATTTTTCAGAGTGATCAATGCAAACATTTCCACATTTCTGTGCAGCTGCACTGAAAAGGTCTCTAATGCATTGCATGTACACTATTTCCCAGATACACAATTGAATGTCTGATTGACAGACATGCTTGAGCTATCCTCACTAGTCAGAGGTCATCGTAGGTCCCTGCACCTAGCCTGTGGCCCAGGGCTGTATCTTCTGTCAGGGAAGTCACTTGCACCAGATAGTCATTGCTTGCAGTTCTTTCTCTAGCAATGCCATCACAGCCTCAGGAAATCCCAGTAGGAGGTGGAAAGCATTGATTTGTCTAGTGAGACAAGCCTCGTCTGCATTGTCTGTTGCACGAGGACATCCTACCTATTGCATGTTAGCACAGTGGGTCCAGAGCTGGCCTGGCAGCTTTCCTCCACCCTTGGCATGTGCATGATTGCCTGCGCACATGGCTGTGTCTGAGAGGGTGAGCACAAGCAAGCACAGTGGCTGTGAGAAACAGAGCATCCTCAAAAGAGTCCCATGACCACTAGGGAGTCCATAATGGGGATACTGAAGCACTGAGCATTGGGGGAAAGCTCTCTGTCATCTCTGGGTGCCAAACACTTGGAAATGTGGCCTGGGGCTCTTCAAAATGCTGACCTTGCATTCCTAGGGCCCCAGGTACTTTCTGAGGAGCTAGTGAGAGTCACTTTGCAAAGCGGTGGCCTTGCAGGTAGGTGCAATGCCATCTCCTTTGTGTCTGAATACTCTTGAAGCACCCTCCTCATCAAATGGCAGCATCTGTGCCTCTATGCAAAAGACAGAGAACGGGGCAGGACAAAGGTCAGCAGGCAGGGAGGATAATGCAGGGTAAAAGTGCAGTGTGCAGAGCCAAGAGGAGGAAGGGACATGGTCTGGAGGAATGCACAGGCTCTCCACCTCCCTCTGCCCTCTGTATCCTGTTCTTGAGCTGCCTCAATGTATGATAAACAGCACAGCTCCCAGCTACATTTGCATCTTCACCAAATCACAAAAAAATCCTCTTTTTGGATCCTAGTGACAAAGATACTGGGGACAAGGGGCAATACCAGTGTGCCTGCACGTTCTCTGGGAAACTTGAGAACCCATGTGTCCACCCTGCTCTGGGTTAGCTTTACAGATGCTCCCAGTGGAAAACTGCTCCCATCCAGCAGCAAACCAGAGCAGTTACATTTGGATAGCTATGTTTGGGCTCTTTCTCTTAAGGTGGATGTTTAACGTTGCAAGCAAGAGTAGCAGTACCTGCAGATACTGGCCACCACAATATGCCTGGTAGTACCTGGCTGCCTTGGTTTTATCGACTACGTTCTTTGCACCTGGAAGGTGAGGGCCATTGAGCCAATACCATCTCATATCTCCTGCCTTGTCTTTGTGCAGTCCCTCTTCCCTCCATCCTCCATGCCTTTTACAGCTGTGCTGTCTTCCCTCATGCCCATCCTTCAGAGCCAGAAACCATCCTGGACTTCGGTGAAGTGTCAGCTATAGTTTTATTTGGCGTTTGGCACTGTGCTGAGACAGTGGATGTTATCTGCAGCATCGCAGTGCTGCCTGGCTATTAAATAGATGATCTGATCACCTAAACATCAAAGCAGGCAAAGCCAGGCTCAGCTTCAAACTCCACTGGCTTCCCAATGGTATTTGCAGCCATCCTTTGAGCCAAAGACAGATTTAGGAAGGGCTACCACCGAACTGCTGATGTATGATTAAGGGTAAACCCAGATGATCATCTCTGTTAAGTAAGGCCAGCCACACTGATAGATCAGGGGTCCCTGTACATGCACCAGAGACCAAGACAGCCTGTACAGATCTTGCCTAGGGAAACACGCAACCAGCAACAGGTCTGTCTCCAGCATGCACCTATAAAGAGACATGGCATGACATGAACAAATGAGAAGTGAAGACCTCTCAAGACAAGTGAGAAGATTTCCCTCCCTAAGTGACCTCATTCCAGCCTCTGGAGGGATGTCTCAAAGGAAATAACTAAAATAACCCCCAACTCACAAATGAATGAAAAAAAAGAGTTTGAAGCCTCTGAACTCTGCAGTGGCAGAGTTACATTTGCCAGCACCACAAGTATTGAAGAAGGAAAATGTGCAAATAGTAAATATGTGCTGGACTGCAATTCTCACGCATGCCTCTCCTGTCGCACAGCAGAGGACACACTCTGACATGTGCATCTGATCAGCTTTTTTCAGCTTCCAATTTCTGCATCCTGAATTTTTGCTATGAATTAGCCATTAAAGACTGGCAGACAAAAATTAATCCTAGAGGTTCCTTGGCAAACAACTGAACTGTGGAAATGTCAAGAGTATTGAAGCGTGAGTACAGCTCAGTAAAATGCAGGTGTAGGTAAAAGCCCCATCATCCAAACTGCCTATCCGAGGAGAACAAAACTGAAAAAGGGTAAATGGGAATTCCAGAAAAAAAAATCTCTCATTCCACGTGCTGTTTCCAAAGCCTGGCTAGTCTACAGCAGGGATAATTAGATTTCAGCCATACAGGCAAAATTTTCAGAATAAATTATTAATCACAGATTGTTTGTCCAGGATCAACTGAGAAAGAAGTGAGCAGTCAAAAAGCCAGCAGCCTGTCAGCATTTCAACTGTATTATGAAAAGAAGGGGGTGCAAACATCAGTACCTACAGCTCAAGGATATTCTGCCCTTCCTGGGCTAGCAATCGCTGTACTTCCAACGTGAACCAAGAAGCGTCCAGCCTCCAGCCTCGCTCGCACAGTCACTGCAAAAGTGCACCTCTTGGAAAAGCCTGTCGTCCTCACCCACACCACACCAAATACAGCCCTGACAGAGACTCAGCAACTTGCAAGGAGGCATCTAGCCCAATTTTTGAGGTTCCTTGCTATTGTGGCTGGTTTGTGCTGTTAGTTATCATCATGCTTGCCCTAGAAATGGACATCCTTTCTTTGAGTCTGGTCAGACTCGTGGCTCAGAGATGTTCTCTGGCGAGGAGCTCCAGGGTAATTTTGTGTGGGGCCCACGCCCAGTATTATGGTTTTGAAAAAGGAGGAAACACAGGAGTTTGGCTCATAGGAACACAATAATTACCTGAGCATAAAAAAGGGCCTTTTCTTTCCTGATACAAAACATCTGATAAAAGCCTGAGCCCAGCAGTATTTATATTAGCAGATTTTACATCCTCCTTGTGTGTACTTGGACTGTGAGATATAAATCAAAGCAAGGGTTCATTCCAAGAACACTTTATTTTTATCTAAATAAGTATGTGCTGGTGGAGCAGATACTGGTATGTTGATTCTGTTAGTTCAGTGTGATTTATAACAGTTTCTATTGTTTTATACTGTGTTTCATTTTTGAGTACTTAATTCATCTGAGTCACAGGTCTAGGTATTTTTGTTTTGTTTTGTTTAATGTATATTTTCTTATGGGTGGTTTTAGGTTTTCATGGTTTACTCTAGCATTGTAACCCTTTAAATGCAGAGGAAGAACATAAAACCAAGAAAACAAACTCCAAATGGGTCTGCAATCAAATGTATCCCTCTCTAAATTGATCCACATGAGGTGGAGAAAAAGCAATATAGAGTGCCTCTCAATAATTCATTGCCCCTTAACTGTGGTGATCCCTCACCTGAGTTTAGGAGACCAGCCTGCATTCCTAGAAGAGATACGTGTGCACACTGAAGTTCAGGCAGTAGCTGCTGCTGTGCCACGATTCTGGAGAGCAGAGGAGGGAAGTCAAGGGAATGCTCTATATTCCTCCACCTTTACTTTTGTAAAGCTTTACTTTACTTTCTCTAAAGTACTTTAAGCTACTTTACTTATTGTAAAATAAAAAGTTACTTTACTTTTTGTGAAATAGCTTTGGTGAGCAAACATTATAAACACAGTCATCAGGAAAAAAAGCAGCCCCAAAAGCCAAAGAAAGCAAGGCTGTATCAACAGCTCTACTCCCAAATTTGCCCAGATTCATCAGAAGTCATCTTAACTCTTACCAGAGAGCAATGTCATCTTGCAGATTATAATCAGAGTCCTTGGAAACCTTTACAGGGACTGAGATTTCCGTCATTCTCTGAGGATGCCCGTTTTTACAGCTTTGCTTGGACTCGACTTGCAAGGGAGAATTCATGCTTTGGCCACAGAAAGGAGAATAATTCCTGTGCAGTGTTTTTGATCAACATAATGCCTGTAGCTGGTAATTAAAGCAGGGAGAGAGAAAAAAAAATGGAAAAATCACCTTCTCCTTCAAGATTTATTAGACTATAAACCCAGAAACTGAGATTTTCCTATCACCACCTGTGGGACCCAAGGGACAGTTTTGACTTAATGCAGAGTAGGATGTTTCTCTCGGTTATGAATTCAGAAGGTGATCTGGGGAGTTCACAGCAGAGAGATACAAGTGCTTAAATATGAGCACACAGGGGCTTTGGTACTGCCAACTTCTGCTTCAATGTCTTATTTTTATAGCAGTACTAAAAGACCATCCAGACTTCAGGAGGTTAGTGAGGAGTAGCAAGACATTTTGGAGAACAGCAGGTCAGTAGCTGGAGGCTGATGGAGAGCAGGCTGTTGGGCTCAGACCCCTTCTTAACTGGTTCACTGCTTCAGAGCAAGGACTTAAACCCAGCTCTCCAAAGATGCATTGGCAGCAGGAACTTGGCTACAAAAGACCTTTTTAAGACCTGGGCCTAAGTCAGTGCAAGCCACAGGAGCTGTGTGGTTAAAGTACAAACCTTGGGGTTCTGCCATCTGTGACAAGTACCTCCTGCTTGGATCCCCGCCACAGGTAGAATTTGAGAGTCACATCTAAGGGTAAAGAAGAAACAAGGTATCCAAAGAACCTAATGTTAAAGGTTTGTCAATGCAACCAGATTATTTTTTACATGATGCACTAAACGTTGATTACAGCATTTCTGAAGCCATTTCTTTGCCCTTCGTGATTCTTCACGCTGCCACAGATGGGAGACCAGATGGCTAGCTCAACAAAGAGGACTCCAGCTCCATTATAGTGGCTGCAAAAGAATATTAGGTGCTGGAAAAGGAACTTTGCTAGCCATCCACCTGGGCATGGAGCCCTTGCATGTGCCCACTGGAAGAGCTGAAGAGACTCCTGCCCCAATAGAGAGAAGGTACTGCCTTTCTGGGTGACTCAGATGGGGTTTGGGCTCTGCTCAGGGTTTTGCGGCCCTGACCCCCGACTTTGGCTCTCTCACAGGAAAGCCATGGCGATGTTATAGCATCCCTGCTCTCCCTCAACTCCTTTAATTCCAGCAACCTCTGATGAAAGCATCCATCTAGGAGTTGAGAAGGATCAACGCCTTGCTCTAACAAGCAACTAGTTATTCAAGGAAAGCAGGGAAAAATGCTGGTAATGCTGGAAAAATGCTCTCCCTGACAGAGCATGCCAGTGCTAGGGCTAAGAGAACTCCAAATCACCCAGAGGGAGGCATGCTCTGGGTGCTGGGCAGCCCAAAGGCAGGAGGAGCTCTGAGCACCTCATATCCCATGTCGGCTCATGGAAATTGAGACCCTGTGACAGAAATCTGGCACTCAAAGGACATAAGCTTCTACAGGGATATGTTGCTCAATGCAGACCCTAATAGATTTTATTAGAAATGAAAGGTAAAGAAAGTGTATGTCCAGCCAAAAAAAAAAAAAAATAGTGTTAAGAAGAGCCTTGAGAGAGAGTTTCTGAAAAACAAAAATGAAATCATGCAACTTGTCCTAAAGATTTCACATGTACTTTACAGCACAACAGAGTGGTCTGGAGCAGAAGTTTCTGTAAGCTAAGAGGCAGGGAAAGCAACTAGGAGCTTATAATTCCAGTTTTCTAACCCTCCATGGGAAACCTGTCCACTACTTGAACTGGAATAGGTTGCCCAGAGAGGCTGTGGAGTCTCCTTCCCTGGAGATATTCAAAACCCACCTGGATGTGATCCTGTGCAATGTGCTCTGGATGACACTACTTGAGGAGGTGGTTGGACTAGATGATCTCCAGAGGTCCCTTCCAACCTTGGCCATTCTGTGATGCTGTGATTTTGCGATCCTCAACTTCACTGATGAAACAGCCTCATAGATTCCAGTTAAGGTAATTGCCTACCTTAATAATTCATGACCTGCTTTCAGGAGAGTTTGAAGCTCAGAGGAAATCTAAATGCTGCCGTATACATTCTGATCAGCAACACCACTCATTGCCTGCCTGTATGAAAGTAAAAGTAATTTTATTAAGCTATAGGGTCAAGTAGTTTCCTTTCACACTACAGAAATAACATCTGGATTATTTCCACTTTTTCCCCCCTTAAGTCACATAACAATTATCCTTAAAAGAAGAAAAAATATCGTAAGACAAAAGGAGTCCTAGATGAGAAATTCACTTTTAACAGCCAGGCAAAACAAAGTGCCTTATAGAAAGGTTTGTTTTAGAGGAGTTATCCTTCAAAGGAAACACCTCCATCAATAGCTTGCATGCTTACTTAAATATTCCTCATCGTTATTACAATCACTGTACTCTTTAATTGAACTAATTGCATTAGTGTCTGTGGATATGATTCCCTTGGGCTCTTGGACTTCCTGAGACTTCACAGCCTAACCTGGCAGGTCAGACGGAAACTGAGGAGGTAAGGGCAGGTACGGGAGGACATGATGACCTGGCCAGCACCAGTCTCCCACACCGTTACCTGCAGTCAGTGCTGTCATTTCCATTAGTTCTCTGCCAGTGCACACAGAACTGTGTTTCTCAGTGAATAGCCAAACATCCCCAGCCTAGCATCAGTGTCAAGCCATTTTTCTCTGCTGTATCCAGAGACATCCTGAGGCACTGTCCTGGCTCTCCTTTGGGCCCTGGACTTGAGAAAAGGGTGATGATGCCCATGAATTTTTGGCTATAGAGGTCAGCAGGGGGTGCAGGACCCTTGCACCCTAAATCAGATCTGCACTGCATGTTTTTCAGCAAGTGTGAAGCGCCCAGCTCTGTTACTTGGAGGTGCCAGCTGCAACGTTCATGGCATCAGCCCCCACATTTTGGGAGAAGTGACTGGAGAGGAACAAATTCACTTCTGATCTCTTGTGAGTGTCAGCTTGCATCTCATAGAGAAGGTATAAGCTGGCTGGCATGGGCCGCTCCAGAGCTAAACCCACCTTCAGCTTTGTCTACACACATCCTTCCTCACAAGCCTTTTCAGCGCTAACCCTTCTCCCAGCCATTCAGAGATACCACCCAGAGGAATTGACCAGGTGGCCAAACATATCTGCTCAGAAATAGGAGGAGGGCACCAAAATCTTCACAACAAATCTAGCTAGACTGCAAGAAGCAGTACCTAAAGCTACAGAAGTTCATATATAGATATAGAAAACTATCCATGTTTACATTCTTGAATGGGAATCCAGCCTGTTATAGTCAACAGTGTTTGTATTTCGGCTTTAGAGACTTCTGTGCTTGATGTATCCTTGTGCAGCATCCTCATACTCTGCTCCCCCTGGGGCTGCTGCACATTGCTGTTTATAGAGAACATCACTTACCACAAACATCCATGTGCAGTAGCAAATGCCACTCTCTGGCTGCAGGGCCTGCACTGTGAGCCATGGCTATTTTCCTGTCACACAGGGAAAGGGCTCATGGGGAGGCATAGGGAGCTGACTGCCTCACTGGATGAGAGCCACAACAGGGCCACAGCAAAAAGCCGGGGTGAGGTTGGGCTGCTTCCGTCCTGGACTCTGTGGGAGGGACTGCTCCCTGGGTACTGCTTACTCTTGCTGAGGACAGGGAGACTTGCCTGACCAGGTATCTGTGGTCACAGACAGGCTCAAGCAATATGCCCCATGATGTCCACGTCTGGATCGTGCCTGGCTACCCCACCAGGGAAAGAAGGAGCGTTGCAGAACCCTGCTCCAAGGCCTCAGTTCCACCAAACATAAAACCCACCGAGACTTTCAGCCTCCAAATAACCAGCCCAATTTCCAGAGCTGCTGAGCCCCCAACAGCCTATGTCAACTTTCTGGGGATGGCTTGGGTTGCCTATGAAGCTGTATTTCCTACCTCCAACCAGAGAACTCTGCTTTACTGAGCCAATAAGGTTAATTAAACAAAAACTGAATGTCTCACTACTACCTCCAATCGTACCCTATCTCCTGCTTCCTGCCAGAAAACACATCTAGTTAAAGAGGCTGGGGATGAGATGCTCATTTAATTACAGCTCAGTCTGCATGCTGTTCAAAGGTAGCATAGCCTAATAAATATAACAGGGCAGAACTTCAGCCAGTTATAAAAGAGATCCAGAGCTCTGGGACCTATCTTCCAGGAATCAGAAAGATCCCAGGTGACTATACACCATTCACTATGATTTATATTGTGAAATGTGTACAACTAACAACTGTTGCAGCCACCAGAGCAGCATAGACAGGACCTGCACCTACTAGCCTTTGAAGGTCATGGGAAGTCCTATGATACCGAAAGGAGGTTTCCCCATAAAGCCCCATCTTCTAGCATCACTGCCTGAGGACAAAAACCACGCCCTTACACAATTTCAAAGCTCCCAACTGCCAAAGACCTTGATTATCTTCTTCTGTCTCATGATTTCTAGGTCAGCTTGGTGTTTGCTGAAGGGCTGCATTGTGGCACCTGGATGATAGGGGCTAAATACCAAAGGACTCAGCACATCCTACGGCAAGGATCTGACTCGCTGTCACATTCAGAGTCATTTTACTTGGCAGTATAAAATAATGCTAAAGTCTCACGCTGACCCCCACTTTAGGTCTCTGTGCACTGCCTGGTATTTCAGACAGCGTGGTGGACATTGTTAAAATATTCTGAACGGCTGCTCTAGACTGTCACAAGCAAAAACTTCAACCAATCCACGGAAAGAATACATTTCTTTTTTCACTGAAGAAGTCAATGGGCTGCATCTGAGATGAAGCAGTATCTTATTTTGCAGAGGACTGCAAAGCAGTAGCAGCAATAGTTTGGAGCAGGAGTTTGGGCTAGGTTTCGGGTTGGCTCAGTACAACAGATTGACGCTGCTGAAACAATATTTATTGGCACCACAGAGTTCAAGGCTAGAATAAATCAGTTAAATGATACTCCTTTTTAATTTCACCAGGAGAGAAGTCAGAAAGGGTGCCAGGAAAAAGATTGAAAAAAAAAAAAAGGCTAAAGGAAAGGAAAAGGCATGTCTATTGCTAGAATGATCTTCACTGTTGCCTGACAAGCAAGGAACAGCTCAGAGGCATCCAGGGCCAGAGTGGGAAGAGGCAGAATCATTGTAGCAATAGTTTTAGTGAACATTAATTATTCTTTGGCCAAGCTTTCAATTATTAAATGTAACTAAAATTATTTTGAGTTCTTCCCTCAAGGAAGAGAAGAAGACATGAAACACAAACAAGGAACAAATGTAGAGGCACAAACACATTTTTTAGCACAAGATAGACTTTAGCTGCTTGGTTTAATACCTAAATTTCAACAAAGCTGATGGGAGCCAGCAGAGATGGCTTGTCACGTGGTGTTAAGCACTGTACAACCAAACTAACCAAGACTGCAGTACCCTTACTGTCTTCAGTGCTGTAACCATTGAATTGCATCACTTCACCCTCTAAGCCTGCTGCAGGCACAGACTTAAAGAAGCTGGGATGGGGACATGGGAGGATGGAGAATCAGATGCTGCTTAGGAGGGTAAAGTACACGGCTTTACACACGGCTGAATGTGATGCTGCATTCTGGGACAGCAGCTAAATCTCCTCTTTGAGACTTGACACTTCTCTCTAACTGCTTGTGATGAGAGGAGAGACTGGACATGGGGTTTCTTGCACCTGGCCCTGGCATGGATCTGACCCCAAATAGCTATTATTGATCAGCTCCTCCCTACACCTTTTCCCAGTAAGAAATTTCATAAGGTCAGCAAAAAATGAAACTCTTTCTGCTGAAAGAGAGTAGAACATTTCAGAGACCTTTCAAATCAGACCCAAAATTTCCACTTTTCAATGTCTCCTACAGCCATTTAAGACAAAATAGAGGAGCATTACAAAGCAGCTCCCATTTATCAGAATGGCACCTTCAGCGCCATGAACATACAGGCAGATAACCTCTCTCGCGCTCAAGAATTTCTGATTTGTGCCTTGAGGCACTATAAATAGCTGTGTGCACAATTAGCAGGTTTCTGAACAATCTCCAGGAAATCATAATCCACAAAAAAATCAATAGGATCGGCTTTCCCTGCTGTAATAGCAAAGGTCAGAAGGAGATCAAAGAAGCAGAAGATATGACCCCTGGGAATAAACATCAGTAGCAGCTCCTGCAACCTGGCAATGCTCCAGGGTCCCCTCTACTTCTTGGAATGGCTCCTACGACTTCAATGGACAATGCTCAGTGAGCAGCATCTCCCCAGCAGCATGCACGTTCATGCTGTGCATCAACATAGGTTTTTTTGATTAAAAATGCACGGTATCAACTGTGGCTGAGGTCCCCCCAGTCATATATTTAATATTTTATTTGTGCAGGCTGTTTGACTGGAATGAGTATATTACCTGTATCTTCAGCTGGACGCTACCCCACAGCTGAAATGACACAATTTGATAAGGAGTTGTTTTCCTTTGTCACCTCCGCAGCATCCCAGCAGCAGCAGCCAGAACATGGTGCCCCCCAATAACCACTAGAGCCCACGTCTTTTCAGCATGCCACTTGTCCCAGAAATCACTGTTGGCCAGTGCAAGAAATGTGTTTAAAGGACATGCAAGAGGCCGCCTGACCTAGATCTACCTTTCTCACACGGAAAACTGACCGCCCCAAGCCACCACTTGCATCACTCAGTTCTGGGACAACTCCCTGAAAAGCATCAAAGGATTGAATATTTATTTAAGAGAAAAAGTATCAAAGCTCAGTCACTAGCTGACAAAATGCAGATCTTCTCAAGGAACACACATTCTACCTTCCCATGGTTTCTGTTGCTTGGTTTCACTAAAAGCCACCTGCAGCATCACAGTTCTCCTTTACAGTTTGATGGAGGCACTCTGATGGCTTTGCAAGGCAAGGTCTCTGCTCTGCCAGAACACAGTAAATTATCCCTACCAGGTAGGCCTATGATCTGCCGCATCTCATGTCTAAATACTGGGAGTTTCCTTCTGTAGTTGTTCCAAGGATAAGGTACGTACATTCGGCTCAGGAAAGCCTCAGGACTTTGCGTGCTTTAAATTCCCTTGGCAGT